TTGTTTGATTTTGAAAACTCTGGTACAAACATATCTTAATATTTAGATGAATTCTCTATGTGAGATTAACTAAATAAGGTTCTATTTGTTAGGTTGGAAAATAAATTAACATCTGGGACTATATTTTAGACACAAGAATTGCATAAAAATGTTAAGAAATGAGTGACTTATGTGAGTCACAAGATGAGTCTCATGTTTTGTGCACAAAACATAATGTCTGACACTTATAAGCATTGCGAAAGCTCTTAAATGGCCGAATTAGGTTTCGTGTTATTCATAGAGTTGTAGGCTAGGATGTTAGCTTTTCAATGGCACTAAAATCATCCAAAAATGAGATCTAGAAGTTAAGTTATAATTAAATTAATGAGTAAAGGTCAAACTATTAGAATTAGGCTAAAATACCGCAATTTTGCAATTTTTTAAAATAGTAGATGATAAAATCAACTCTTTAAGTCAATATAAAAGTTGTAGATAGTTATTTTAGTTTTTTAATAAAATTAATATCAACTTGATATCATAGGTATAACACTAGATATCGCATTTATATCACACAATGTCATAAAAGCTCAAGATAAGAAGAAATGATTTATGAGTTGTGTGATTCTTTAAGTGCTTGTGGATTTTGTGAAAACCCTTGTTTATAGAGCAATATGAATTTTATATGTTTCTTATGAGCATAAGATTCTATGAGTGAATCATATGTATGATTGATTATGTATTAAATATTGTGATTATGAATATATGTGTTTGTGAATTATATAATAACCCTTGTTCATAAAGCAATATGAATTATGTACGTTTTTTATGAGCATGAGATGTTATGAGTGAGTTGTATGTAGGATTGATTGTGTATTGTGGTATTATTGAATTGATGTGATGAAGTTATTAGGATGTGATGATGTATGTTATGATGAATACTATGATGAGATGAAATGGATATGTCCAATGTTGAGGACTGGCACTCGAGGAGAAGAATTATGCATATTGTGTTATTGTGATGTGTGTATTGAGTTCATGCATACATGTTTTATTTGTAAGATAGTGTGAGTTTATGTAGGTGAGATATCATAGGTCATCTACTTATGTCATGAGGTGTTATGGTGGTGAAACCTTTAACGAGAATGAGAGACTACCACGACCAACTATAACACTTTGACAAAATCCTGATAGACATCCCTTAGTGAGATGGTTTAGGGGGGTTATTACTGTGGAGTGGTCCCTACACTATTTGATGAAATGGTTTCATTCCATTACTCTTAGGCTATTTTGTAAATGATGATGAAGAGATTGGTACCATATGCATGAAGAGTTAGAAGCATACATCTCATGTGTCTTAATTGATGAATATGATATATTTGTGATTGATGAAATGATGGTGATAAATGTTATCTAATATGTTAACTTGTCATTAATATTGCATGAAAAGAATTGATGAAAGTGTACGTATATGATGTAATTTTTATATGAATTGTGTGTGTGTGGTTATCCTTATGCTTCATATATACTATGGTGGATGAGATATATTCTCATTCCCTGTGTTTATATTGTTTCTGTTTTGGCTAAATGTCATTTGTAAGAATAGAGCAAGCACATGATGATAAATTTGAGGAGGGAGAACCATAAAGCGGGGTCTTGCTTTGATAGTGTAACACTATGGTCAAGTTTTAGGATAAATGATTGTTTTAAGTTGAATTTCTTTTTAAGTTTGTTTTATTGTCATAACTTATTTGATTTAAGAGGTTGTTCTTAGTTTTGATTAAACAATGTTTAATAAGTTTTCTATTATTTAAATAATGGTTATGAATGTGAACCCTTTTACAAGTTTTATGAGGAGAATTATTATATTTTCTAGAGATTTTGTTATATTTTATTTATTAAATCCTTTGGGGTAGAAGGGTGTCACAAAAGGTTCTATCGTTTGGGTTCTTGGCCTTTTTCTTATAAATAGGTTTTCTAGTACTTATATTCCACACTAGTCACAATTTGATCCATATAGTCGATAAAGTCATGTGAACTTGAGAAGCTTCAAGTTGTAACCTCTTTTAATTTATGGCTTTCGATAGTTTCAATAGTGGTTTTGGAGAGTCCAACGGTAATATCGCTTGAAGAATGTTAGAAGGCACACCATGTAATCTAACAATCTCACTAATGTAGAGATTAACCAATATCTTCAAGGAATACTTAATGTTGATAAGGATCAATGATATATTGCCCTCCGAAGGTTCTATTACAAGGACTATGTCAAAGAAAATGTAAGAAGAATGAGCTAGAGATGAAGATAGAAGACCCAAGCTTATTTTGAGTTATAATTTGCTTTTATAGTCCATGTTTTCTTTGTATATATTTTCTTTTATTTTTTTGACCTTGTAGTTTTGAGTCAAATATATTAAGAATTTGTTATCTTGTGATTTTCTTTTTAGAAGTGTATTTAGTATTTTAAAAGTGCAACTAATATTTGGAACATATGCTTGTTGGGCTTGTTTGGCCAAGAAAGAGTGAG